GGGGGGGGGGGGGGGGGGGAGAGAGACAGCTCAGAAGACCAAGAGTTGTTGGCAAACTGCATCAGGACCCAACGGTTTGTTTGGTCTCTAAGTAGCTGAACTTTAAGTCCTCGCATGTCCAGCCCAACAATTCCTTCTCCCAAATCACCTGAGCTTTCGAACAAGCAGAATTATCCAGGCTGACCTCTCTTTCCACTCTGACCGTGCTGCTCTCCAGCACAACTGCCCTCTTGCACAACGTCCCAGCACGTATCACACTGCTCACCCCCACGGTGGGAAGACAAAGAGGTCACAGTCCTTTCTGTGTACATTTGATGTCGCCACAAGAGCATTATGAAAGTCAGGCAGCATAAACTAGACACCGAAGAAAAACTCCCAATCAATAAAGGCTAAACCAGCTCTCTCTGGTCAGGGATTCTCTCCCTGTTTTGGAGTTTCTGCTTCCAAAACTCTCAAGCGGGGCTGGTGGAGAACTCTGGGAACCGGAGTCTGAGTGTTTTGGGAAGACAGCGGGCTGGAGAAGGTGGTTCCATCAGGGTCTCAGAAGCAGGAAGAGTGCCGGGGCCCTAGAAAGCTACAGAGCCCTGGGCACCCTCTGCCTATGTCTTAACAAATGGAGGATCAAGCCCACCACCCTCCAGAATGCCAACATGCAGAGACCCAGTTACCTGCCTACTCAAGAGCCAGACTCCAATGCAAGCCCACGAGTGCTCATCTGGGTGAGCACCTGAGGAGGCTGCAACCGCTTAGCCCGGGGCCTGACAGAAGAAGGAAGAGCAGAACCGGGGCCGCTCTGCCAGGGAACGTGAGGCAGGCTGGCCCCTAATCTCCAATCCACCATCCACAACTTCCCCACCCTGTTGGGGGTTCTTGTGAAAGCAGAATCAATCAGATTGGCCCAGACTCAATACAGACCCAGAGCACTGGAAGCTGAGATAGTTGGTTTGCTTTGAATCTCTCTACAGGGGCTGGAGAAGACTTTTTATTTTACAAAACAAGGATATTTTACAAAAGGAAGCTGTATATTGAGAATGTCTTCAATTATTACACAAACATATTGCTGCTAGCATTCTATCTATATCTATGCCCTATTCCTATTGTCCTTCTCTAGTTGCCCTAATACCCTACTCCTAAATCAACGTTCTTAGTGGTAAACTTATATTTTATTACTTGCCCTCTTTTCTGTAGCCTCTTTATTTACGGCAACCCCATTCATATATCACATTACTCCATTCTCTCTCTCTACCATATATTTCCCCGTTGGTAGCCACTAGATTTCTTCATATTTCTTTCCTTTATCTTTGATTTCTCTACATTTCTTTCCTTTATCTTTGATTTCTTTGTATGGGCCTGTTGCTACCTTCTGTATCCCTCTTCTACAGAGTTCAGCCCATCTCATCTCTCTTTGGGCGTCCTTCCACACAGCCAAACAGATTCAACATGTTTAGGGAAGGAGGGAGGGAGGGAAGGAGGGAAGACCTGTCAACAACTGTTCGTTGTGACAAGCAGGAGAGCAAATTATTTCAGCCCAGGCTGCTCCTGGTCAGGGTGCCAGAAAGCTATGAAAACCTGGCGCTGGTCCCAGGCCCGGGGTTGATCTTCACGATTTGTTTAAGGGCCCCCGTTTTGTTTTCTTGATTTTGTTGTTTATTTTAGTCGGGGCTGTCTGTCTGATGTTGTGCTCTTATGTTTTTTTTTTCCTGGTTTCGTATCCCGCCCAGAGTCGACTGGAGTTGGGCGGCCAATAAATCAATCAATAAATCGCAACCAGCTGTGCCATTTTGCAGGACGCTCCAGAGTTAAGGCCGGGCATAGCCCAGCTGTGAGGGTGCCACAAGTCAGGGCGAGAGTTCACAGGTCAAAGAGGAACAGCCAACGTTAACATCGCAGCAGCAGATAAAACCGTTCTCAAACAGAACGGCTCCGTAACCTGCAAAGGCAGACGCACTCATTCTGGGTTTAGGGCATTCCTCGAGCGGTGCCCAAGCAGACAGGGGCCCTTCCGCTCGCTCTCCCACCCCATGTCGCCCACCCCCTCAAAACGGCTCAGCCGAGACTGCGCAGCCACTGAACGCGTTTGGCCTGCTTTGGGGCGCTTGGCAGTCTTTCCGCCTCGATTAGAAAGTTTTTTTCCTCTTGTTTCCCCTCTCCTCCATTATTCTACCAGCCACAGACTCCGGACACCTCCTTTCTCATCTCAGGGAGGTTGTTTCTCGCTCCGGAAAGAGCCAAGCCCGGAGGCCAGCACTGGCTACCAGCGCCCAGCAGCCATTCCCACCCCGGTCCCCTCTGAACCAGCTGGACTACAACTATCATCATCCACAGCCAGCATGCTCATTGCTGGAAGGCACCCAGGCTGAGGAGAGGGGGACAGATATACAGGAGACTCAAGCTTCCTCGTTTGGCCCCTGCATTTGTGAAGACCATTTGCTGGGGAAACGCACAGAGGAGGCCTACTGCCCTCTCCGTACGTGGGGAGGAGAGGCTGCTGCTGGAAGCAAGCGCTGTTTCGGGCACCGTTCTGCAAACTTCAAAGCACTGCTAAGCAGCCCTGGCCAGTACCAACTGGTGTAGCATGCCCTCTGCTAAATAATCCTCCTTTTATTGGCGGTTCCCACCAGCCCCAGACGGGAGGAGCTCTGGCCCGTGCCGCTGGAACTTCCACTGTCTTGTGGCATTTGCCATTCCAAAGATTAAGCATCGACATGGATGGGACCAGGCTACCCGAGGGACCATCTCACCCCCATTATGTCGACCCGTCCCACCCGGTCGGGCAGAGAGGGCATGTTACGGCCTCCCTCTACGAAAGGATGTTGAGTGGCGGGGCCCAGGAGGCGAGCCTTCTCTGCCATGGCCCCCGCCCTATGGAACATCCTCCCCCCAGAGGTGAGGCAGACCCCCACTCTCCCAGTCTTCTGGAAAGGGGTGAAGACCTGGCTCTGCCAACTCGTGTGGGGTGTGAGGAGAGGTAACCAACCCTGGGGGTGTCTGGTAGCCTGAAGATGCTCTCGTACATTAATAACCTTTATTTACCATCAGTGCCTTGGAAGACATTATTTAGGTATGAGCCATTGTTTTATTGCATTTTAATCAGTATTTGTTCTTGTTTTATTGTAAACCGCCCAGAGTTGCTCTTTGAGGGAGATGGGCGGTGACTAAATTTGAAATATAAATACATACATACACACATACATACATACGGCCAAGGGTAAGAATAAGGAATCGCAGGACAAGGCCCAAGTTCTCTGGCCGTGGAAGGAACCCAGAATCCCGTGATGCAGGGAGCACCCGAAGGCAGGCTGGAGGCTGGCATTACAACCTTCTCCAGAGTGCAGGCCAGGCACCAGAAAGAGCGGTAATCTTGGGGAGAAGCCCTTTCCAGACAGAGCAAAGGAGGCCACATGGGAACAGCCCGCCGCATGAAAAGACATGGGCTGGGTCCCCTGCCCCCTGCCACGGCACAACAGTCTCACCAGGGTCTGTGGAGGAAGCCTCCATCGGCTAGGCTGACCCATCTGGTTTATCCATCGGAATGAGGAGGTCCCCCAAGCCAAAGACAAACCGCACTTCGGCCTGGCATAAGGTGTAAATCAAGCCAGGGTTCCAGCAACCCAGTTGAACCCGGGAAAGGAAAGCTCGCAATCGCTGGAGCAGCCAGGCTGGTTTGAGGCTGACCCACAAAAACCAAAGAGGGACGGGAGCTCGTGGGGAGGCCCAGCTAGGCGGCAGCAGCCGGGCTGCTCTCAGAAGCTAAACGGGGTCTGCCTGGGCAGGCGTCGGAGGAGAGACCGCCTGAGATGCTGTTCTGAGCTGCTGGCTGGACTGGGGATGCCGAAAAAACATCGCGGACAAAGGCGGAAATGACTTCTGTAACTCTACCAAGAAAACTGCGTGGACACAGTCCCGAGGAGCTGAGTTCGACACAAGGGCGTATTTGATTTACTTTGATCACAGGGTAACGCTGCCAACATTTTTCCCCATCCCTCGCCTACACGTCCCTCGCGTTAACTGTTTGTAGATAGGGAAACAGAACTCTTTCGATTTCCACCCCTCACACCCAGCCCACCCTAATATATGGCTCTGCTTGGTTTCTGGGGATCTGCTTTTACGCCAACAGGGGAGTCTTAGGGTACTGGCTAAAGGAAAACGTATGTTCAGAATCGGGCAAACGTTTACACCCCCCAGAAAGTTTACTTTCACCCACTCCAAGCTCACTGTTCTCTCTGGAGCAGTCTTCTCCGACGTAGCCGCCTCCTGATGCACAGGGACAGCAGCCCTGCAATTCTCAACCTGCAGGGTGCTTGTGCTGGCTGGGAATTCTGGGTGCTGCAGTCCCAAATCTGTCTGGGGGATCGCAGGTTGGGGAAGGCTGGGCCAGAAGAGGCCACTCTCACTTGCAGAACGCAGGCGAGATGAGCTTGCAAGACTTCGCCACTTGCGATCTCCAGAAGAGCCAAACTTTCTGCTCAGCACAGCAAGAGTGTGGAGCGTCTGTACAAAGGGTCCAACCTTCTGCCCTGGATGGCCCTGTGAATGGGACATCCGCCCCTGCATGGGACTTTGAAGGATTTTCCTATGCATTGCTCAACAGAGCAAGGAACGCTTCACACCCAGATGCACACTCCTTCCGAACTAGAAGGTGAAGTTGTGATTTGCTGTGATGGTGGCAAGATTGTTGCAACTGTCGCTATACAGGCAGTCCCTGGGTTAAGAATGAGTTCCGCTCCTAAGTCTGTCTTTAACTCGAATTTGGATGTAAGTCAGAACTCATACTTACAAATGGACTGCCTATTACTAAAAATGGAAGGCGGACGGCGTTCTCCTTTCTCAAGCAGACGGACCACTGAAGCCGCGCGATGTTTTCACGAACCTCTGAAAACTGCTGTATATTAAAAATGCGCAGCTTTGGCGGTTTATGAAAGCATTGTGTGGCTTCAGCAGTTCGAGGAAGGAGAATGCCGTTTGCCATTTTTACTAATAGGCAGCCTGTTCATAAGTATGAGTTGTCCGTAAGTCAGACGTTCTCAACCCAGGGATGGCCTGTACAGGGCTGGTCTTGAAGCAGCAGCCACAACAGAAACAGGCCACTAGACTCCTCTTCAGAGTAGCTTCTGGAAACCTGAACACATTGCTTCTTCCGAGAAGTGCTGCAGCATCCCCCTAAACTTGTAATGTGTAGCAACGGGTTAATGATGTCTCAAGTCTGAGGGTGAGCTGAAGAAGCCCCAGGATTGGAAGGAGCATGTCAAGTGATAATGCAAAAGGGGACCTTCCTCATTGTGATCCTGTACAGCACTGTTTCTCAGCCTTGGCAACTTTAGGATATATGGACATCAATTTCCAGAATTCTCCAGCCAGCTTGAAGTCCACACTTCTTAAAGTTGCCAAGGTTGAGAAACACTATTGTACATCTAGAATGCCTTACTCTGGCTTTATGTTGTCACTAGATTAAACCCCACTACACAGTCAAGCCTTTGCATTTACAGATTGGTGTCCAGATGTAGAGGACAGAGGGAATGGCCTTGAAGGACAGTAGGAAGAGCTCCTACCAAGAGAACCTCAGATAAAAGGGGCCTGAGCCAGGGCCAAGAATGTGAGTACACGCCTCAGACGAGCCCCTCCCTAGTTCTCCCAAAGATAAAGGGAGGGAAGGGGGAAGCACATTCTGACTTGCAAGCTTCTGTTACTATAACCTTATAATAAAAGTTGTATTAGCATTCATAACTTTGGCTTCCTAGTCTGGTCTGCCTTGAAGGACTGACACTGGTCATGTCTTACTGCAGCTTTTAGTGCTTCTAATGGCAACAAAGGGCCAGAAGTTACAGAAATATGCTTAACAGGCTCTATCCCACCCTGAAATATAACTTAAAAACTCAAAGGTGGCCTTGTTACCCAAACTATGGAGCTAAGACAGCAGGGGAGGAAGCCACCCCCATCTTCCAGGTGGTGAGTCAAAGACTTGGGGCCATAACCCTAAACAAAGCTCATTTAACAAGAGGACTCATTTCCAAGTTAACTGGTACTGAATTAGGGTTTGAATTATACTCTGAATTTTGGGAGAGGGAAGGAGGAATCCCATCATCATTTTGGGCCGTTCTTTTGGCTGCCCAAAGAAGGGCCTGTTTTGCAAACATGAGGCCTAGACGCAGTTTCTAGCCCCCTGAACACACACCCCATTCAGAGTGAAAGTTGGGGGAAAGATCATACACAGGTGCAAGTTATTCCAAAGCCCATCATGGAGCACAAGGAGCCCTGCTAGACCAGCCCCTTGCTTAAAAGGCAGGATGCACAGCCACCTCTCTCCCCGCTAACCTACCAATCGGCAACGGACGCCACCAGCATTTTTTTACTTTCAACTTAGAAAGCAAAATGGGGTGGGAGGGAGAGATCAAAATGAATGGCTAGCATCCCAAGTTTGTGGCACATGGAGAGAGGAGAGTGTCTCCCCACTTCTTTGGTCAACTGAATCAGGTTTTGTTTCTGCTCATGGACTCCAAAGATCTTCCCACTTACTGGTGCAGTCACACTAACCGTAAGCCCAACGTGTTCTGGGCTGGGCCCCTCTAAGGTTCAGATCTGCCTTTCCCTCCCAGGCTGCAACTCTATCAGTCCCCCCTTGAAGGCTGCTAGGAATCCCACCTTTCCTGCAGTAATTCTGAGAGTTTAAGAGAGGCTGGGAAAAGGAGGAAGACCTGTTGCATTTGGGGGCCTCCAGCCCAATCAGACTTCCTCCACCCAGGGCAGCTCTGCCCTTCTCCGGGCGCATCTCTCCCACGGAAGCAATTTCCCTCTTTCTCTAAGCAACGTGTGCGCCAGCAAAGCGCTTGCCTCAAGAAGGGAGAAAGCATTACCCGATTCTCATCGTAGATTATCTGGACGATGCTGCGATGCTTCTGCTCGACAGGAGGAGGGGAGACAGGCCTCTCTGGTTCAGGCGGTTTTGCTGCTTCTTCCTCGAGCTGTTGCTAAGAGACAAGAGGGCGGGAGGGACGTCAGCCGCGCTAGTCCCGCTAGGAATGAGTCAGAGATAACACGAACATCTGGATCAACTAGATGTGGCCTGGGCAAGTTAAGAACAAGAGGGATCTCGGAGCAACCGGCCATGTTGGTCACAAGCAGAGCAGTACCCCTGTTTGCATGTTAAAAAGAGACAAGACAGGTCCACAGACGCTAGAAATCTTACTGCACCAGCAACCTGGAGTGGATGTCTGCTGGGAGGGCGGGGATGGCTTAAACTGAGAGCCTGCTGCTGAATTCAGATCTGCAGATGTAAAATTCCAGGCTCATCTACCGTAACTTAGGAGCTGCCTCTTACCAGATGGAGACATTTAACTATCCGGTCCAAGATTGTTTCCTTTGAAAAACATGGCTTTGGGGCAAGGGCCTCTGCAGGGAGGGGGTCAAAAAAGTCAAGATGGCAACTGAAGCCATGCAACTGAAGCCCCACCAGCTTTTGTAGCTGCACTGACATTGCAGAGGTTTTGACTGTGCAGTTACGATCATCTTGTCTTTTTCGACCCCTCCTGCGGACACCACTGTTTGAGGCAGAGGTGGGTCTTCAGACTCAAGCACTCCCTGATCCTTTCAACCAATGAACAAAACCTATCTTATTTTAACCATCTCATATGCCATCAGTAGGCAGAAAGACTGGAGGTCCAGCTCAATATAATCCCAGGGTGGATTTTAGCCTGAGTTCCTGTGCATTCATGGAGTTCTACTGTGAAATGATTTTACTCACTTCTCATTCACTGAAGACGCTGGAAATTAAACCTGGAAACTTCTGCATGCCGCTTTTGCTCACAACCTCCTAGGAGCTGTGAGACTTGAACCTGGAGGTCTAACAGGCACAATCTTCTACTGCTTCTCCCACCAAGACCCTGCTGCTGTCTTCCCAAGTAGATCCAAACACCACGGTCCAGAACACTTCGCTAGGCAGCTGATCCAGGACATAATCTAAGCACTTGCTGGTCAGGGGAATAAGCTGGGTCACCCACTTGGCCAACAGGCTGGACTTCTGCCTATGGACATGCTTGACAAATTTTTGGTCTCCTGGGCACAAAGGACGAACTGCCCAAGTTTAATAACCTCACTCTAGGATCTTGAGATATTTCAGCAGAAACCTCTGAGACTTCTGCAATGTTTGAATGGTTATTATTTGACTTTTTAGTGGGGTGGAGTTGCTTGGTGACCTGGGGTACTGCAGCATTGCTGACTGATGATCTACAAAACCTCCCGTGCCAGAAGCAGGACGTTCCACAGTGACAGAACTCCAAAACGTTCCATCCTCCTTCAGACTACATCAAGCCTGTTTTGTCCTGAGCGTCGCAAGCTACTTCCACTTCAGGGGATTAACTTCCATAAAACTGCCAGACAACCCCCATCTCTCCAGAGTTCTACAGAACATTCTGTTTCTGGAAGAGCAGGTTTTGTACATAACATACCTTCCACCAATGTTAGTTCTAGCCAGACTGCTGGCTTGGCCAGTCTCTGCTGACTCAGCCGGTTCCTTCATCCCCAGACACATCAGCCCAGGTTCCGGCTACTCCTTCATCCCCTCCGCCAGCAGCCACAAGAGCTAAACTCGAGCATTTTTTCCAGCTTTGCTACTCGCTTCTCCTTTACAAAAGACGACTGCGCCTCCTGACCAAGGAATACTAATGCTCTCCCCGATGGCTGACCTGTTTTTTCCTCAGTTTGAGGATCTGCTGTTCCACTTTGGCAATCTCCCTGTCTACCCGATCCATGCTCTGGATCAGCTCTTCCTTTGACAACTTGGACGGAGAAGCATTCTGGTCCTCTCCGCACGACTGACTCGACATCGGCGACGGAGGGCCTTCATGCTTGCCTCCAAAAACTGGCTCCTGCCATTTTAAAAGAAAGAGAAAGGAGGGATGGGGAATTATGAACTCAAGCGGTAAACAGTTATTTGCAAAGAGGTATGGGTACGTTAAACAGCCCAAAGAGGAATGTCTGGGTTTTGGTTTTGTTCTCAAACTGTGGTCGGAGTCTTAGCCCAGGATGGAGGAGATCCAGGTTCTGAACCACAGCAAACCATAAATCATATTGAGAAATCTTGGGTTCATTACTGTCTCCCAGTCTAGCATACGTCACTGGGCTGTTGTGAGTTAGAGTAGGTGATGAGAACCGTGACATTGCCTTGGATTCTGCCAAATCCAGGTGGATTATAAAAACGGAGAGAAAAAAAATACAAACGAAGGTGTTGTAAAAGAAAGCCATGAAGTATCCTACTTCAGACACCTTAGGCAAGACCCAGCTCTCTGGAGAAGGCTCTAATGCTGAGAAAGATGGCAGGAAAGACAAGAGAAGGACCAATAGCAAGGTGGATGGATTCCGCTACATTGGCGATGGGGGCACGGTTGGAAGACCTCAAAGACCAGGTTGGGGATAGGTCTTCCTGGAGAAAATATGTCCGTGTGGTCATTAGGAGTCAACAGCAACTTGATGGCACATAATTACTCAAAAGAAAGCACCTTGGGGACCAAGACCCAGGCCTTCAACCTCACTCCTCTGGCCATTTGAACACAGGATAATCAGCCTGGCTACTCTTCAGAGTAATTGGGCTTTGCTTGCTCTGTCAAGAACAGCTGGAGAATTGCAGGACTATCCTGAGATACTATAAGACCCCCAATATGGGGCTCTGCGTGCGTCGTGAGATTCCACCTCTGACGCCTGTGGGAAAAGCGCTTTATTATTACGATGCCCCTCCGTGGCTCAACTCCTGCCTCCAGAAGGCCGGTTCCCAGCAAGCAGCCCCAGGAGCAGATAAGAGCAGGAAAAGCTGCCAACGGGGCCAGGCAGTCATTCAGTTCACTTCCGAAGGTGAGCCAAGATGTCAGCAAGGGAGGAAAGCCAGCCCCGCCAGCCTCTCAACCTTTGCCCCATTCAGAAAACACAAGTTAAACATTAGTCACCAGCTAGGACTTTTAAACTTGGCCTGAACCCAGCCTCTTATCAGCCAGTAAATACTAAGCCATGTGGTAGCCTTCTCCAATCCAGGCCCCCCCAACTCCCAGAATCCTCAGCAATGGTTGTTTTGGCTGGGGAATTCTGGGAGTTGAAGACCTCACATAATAACAGGCGGAGCTTTGTTCATACCACCGTGGCCACCATCTTGACTTTGTTTTATCACTCTCTGTGGATGCTCCTGAGAAGCTCAAACCCAGCAGGGTCAGCTTTACCTTCTTGAGGTCAGATGACCGCAGCCCCTCTTGGAGCTGGTGGGCCAAGGGCAGGACCGCAGCAGCACTGACCCGCTGGTAATGAGGATCAGAAACTTGGTCCAGGCGCGGCCTCTTGGAATCCAGCGAGTCATGATCGGTTTGCGAAGGGCCGGGGTGGAACTGTGACTCATACCCAGATCTCCTCTCCTGAGGCCTGGCAGAGGATGAGGGTGAAAGGGGGAGAGTGATGAAGAAAAGAAGCTTGACGCTGAAAAAGCAGCCACAGCTGCCCCCAATCCGAGGTCTCCATATACCAGCCCCCCAAAAGTTAAACAAGATGCAACTAAGATGGGTTGCCTACTGACAAACCCACACCCAATGCCAACCGATGCCCCCTTTAGCCAGCCCTGCGCTGCACACTCACAGGTTTACAAGAACTCACCCAGACCTCTTTCCAAGGGCTGCCTCCCCAAAATAAAAATATTCACAGAGAAAATGCAAGCGCTTACCGGTCCGAGCCAGGGTGGAATTCGGACAGCAGAGAGGGGCGCCGACGGAGCTGCTGCTGCTGCTGCTGTAGAAGCTGGGTACCTTGGCTGACTTCCAAGTGAGAAGCGCGAAAATCAGGGACCGCGAACTCCTACAAAGGAAAGGAATCGCAGTTGGGGGGTGGGGGAGAGAAGCGCTTTGTCAAGACAAATAGAATGAGAAGACTGTCACAGCGTGGGTCCAGGCTATCTGTGGACCTCCAAGAACATCTGGCCCTCTGGAGGTCTTTGCCAACCAGAAGTCTTCAACGAACTGGGGAGATCATGCCTCTGTTTCATCATAGTGGGTTTCTAAGTTGCTTATTCCATTTATTACTTAAATTCATACCCTGTCTGTTTCCATAAACACTGAAGGCGGCAGACACTAACGAAAGAATGCAAAACAACACATGACAGTTCTACATTTTTTTTTAATCAATTAACAGTTAAAAGAGTGGCAAAGGGAATGCATTTCTGCCATTTTCCCAAATATTGGGAGAGCAGGGCCAAAGGAACTTTTCTGGGAAGAGAATCCATAGTCTGGAAGCCAAACAAGGGATGGCCTCTTCTGTGCACCACCTTCCAAAGGACCTCCTGATGATCTCAGTAATTAGCCAGGTTCATACTTATACTTTTTTTTTATATCTCAGCTCATTAATCTGGGTCAATTTTATGGTATGCGGTCAATTTTATCATCACCTAGAGTAGACAAACCATCTCCAAACACTGCTGTAAAACCCCATTGTTTTCATGTATTTAAAGTGGCTGAAATCTCAGGGGATGGATGAAAACTTCCAAGATTTGGCAATCTCTTCCAATAACCCCAAATTCTCACCAAAGCTTGTATGGGAACGTGCAGCAAAATTGCTCATCCCTGATTTAATTTCACTGATAGCTGTCATGAATGTCCCTTGGGCAGAAAGGGGATATCTACATTGGAAAACTAAATAATGGGTCAATGTCTCAAACTCATTTTAAACAAAAGCTGTCTTACCCTATGCCTGCCTGTAATTCAATTGTCTGCTCTAACCCCAACATCTCTTTGGGGGCCTCCGGCTGTGAAAGATCTTTTCCCCATCACCTGCCATTTAATTTTTTTTTTTTTAAGAGGATCTTTAAGGGGATCTTCTGTTAGTTAAGTGGGGGCTTCCTTCCCCAGCCATGGCCCCTTTAAATTGCCTGCTTATTATTCCACCTGACTGGCACTTAGATCTTTCTTCGACTGGTCAGCTTCGCCCATGCTGACACTTCTAGCTATGCCTCTATCACCAAAAAGAAGCAAAGCCTGGCTTATGTATGAAGAAGCCTAGGATCCTAGAGGGGGCCCTGCAGGATTACCCAGAATCCCCATGGGGCCTGCAGCTACTTGCCTGCTGGTGCCGGCCACTGGGAAATGTGTACTGGACTGAATGCGCCGGGTAACGGCTCTGTTCTGTGCTGAACGCTCCTTGGTTTGGAGGGTAGCTTGAGCTGGACATTCTCGAAGGAGTTTTCACGAAGCTGTGTGATCAAGACCGCTGGGTGAGCATGTTTCCAGGAAATGGCCTAGAAAGAACCAGATGACCATTAGGAAGCCACAGGATCCAGGGCACTGCTTTACAGCACAACGCCAATGAGCAGTTGATGCTGCCGGGTCAGTGTTGTTTGCTGTCTTCAGCCAACACTGGGACACAGATTGTATTGTGCCATGTCCCGTGTGGCCTCACCCCTGCCTGCCAACACGGAAGACTGCCCTGAACAAGAATCTGGTCCACCTAGCCCTGCCAAACAACAGCTCTCCTGGACTGTACGCAGGCAGAGGTCTTTCCCACCTGATCCTCTGAAAAGGGGATTCCAAAGGTTCAACAGAGGATCTTCTCCACACAGTGCTCTGCTGCTAAGCTACCTTTCCAGTGGGCTGGGAGCAGAACCAGATGGAGAGGCAGACATTGCCCTCAGCTCTACCCTGACGGCTTTCAAACAATGGGTCAAGGAACAGTAAGATCGAACTGGCTGGAAGGAGTGCCTCTTCCACACTCACAAAAAGGCACTGGGTTTCAGTAAAAGAAACCACTGCCACAAAAATGGCAGAACAATCTTTCCTACACTTGTCGCTGGTAGGTAGTAGTATATAAAACGCTTTGAATTCGAAAGGTTTCAAGTTCAAAATCGAAAGGTTTCAAGTTCAAAATCCTGTTTCTCAGTTCAAAACAGCTGCTCCTGAGCATGAAACCGTTTCACTTTAAGCTCAAAACACCTGTTTCAAATTCAGAGTACTTCCAGTAAGACCAGAACACCCTTTTAAAGGAAAAAAAACCTACTCAAAATTCAAAATGAATTGGTGGGCCAGCCACCTGCGTTGCTAAACAGAATCTTCCAATTCTGCGAGTCTACCCTTTAGTTTCCTTCTCTGTCCCTCACATACCAACACATCACTGTTTTTGTGCTACACAATCCCCGGCCATTTAATCTGAGAAGAAGAGGAACACTTCAGTATTAAAAGCAACCACAGCCATGTTGGTCTGTGAAACTTCCAAATCCGTAGCCGCGTAGCATCTTTATCAGGATCAAACGAAAGGAATGTATAAACTTCCACGTTCCCCAGAATTCTTCCTTCGGCAAGAGGTTAATCCGGAAAGATGTTTGAGTTGTAATTGTTATTTCTGCTACTGTTTTAATAACTCATAGTTAGGACTTTTGGCTTATAAGGGTGTGGTGCCCTGGACTGCTTTGGCCTGTGTGGGAGATCCCAGGCAATTGTTCTAGAACAGAGTTGGGAGTCGCTGGGCAGTGCCAGGCTGGTGAGTGCTGCTTGTCTGAGGCCTCCACTGACATCTGGAGGGGTCACTGGTGGCTGTGACTCGTGGCTCTCCTGCTGGGGCCATGCCCTGGATTCTGGGGAGTGGTGTCTCTTTTGCCTCTTTCAGTCCCTGGGGGTATACTTTTTTCCCTGTTTCTGGAGGGTAGGCGGTGTGTGGGGCTTGGGGGGTTCCTTCCTCTGTGGAGGCTTGCCCCACCCCTTCAGCAGGGGTAACCAGGGGTTGGTTGGGTCCTCTGTGGGGCAAGGTGCATTGCTGGGTCATTGATTTGAGTCTTTGTGGGGTAGGTGAGAGTGTGATTGGATATGGGTAACTTTAAGAGTTAGATGGCCTTGGAGGATGGAATGAAGGGTGGGAATGGGGTGGGGGGACCTGAGAGGGCAGGGAGAAACATCAGAGTTGCGTCCGACAGAGGAAGGTATGGCCCAAAACGTGGGGCAGCCCACAATTGGCGACATAGGGTCCACTCTCAGGGCCTGGCTACCAGATCCTTGATGGTCTCGGGCTCCAGAAGTTGATTTTGAACGCCAGGTTGATGTGCAACAGGGCTACCCTTATTCATGATCTTATCATAGATGAGGGTGCCAGCCTGACATGTTTAACAGAAACCTGGCTGGGCCTGAAAGGAAGTGTACCTCTCTCAGAACTATCCCAACATGGATTTCGGGTTTGGCATCAGCCGAGACCCCGGGGGCGGTGTTGTTATCCGCAAGCGATTGAAGGTTCTCAGAGGTTCTGCTCCACAGATAATCAGATGTGAGTCCCTGTGGTTGAAGTTGGGCTCTAGGGAACAGATGAAATTGCTGCCGGTATACTGCCCTCTCTGCTGCCCAGTGGCATCCCTGCCTGGGCTGCTGGAGCCCATTACCAGTCTGGCCACAGAGTCCCCGAGACTCAGAGTTCAATTTGCTACCTGGTGGCATCGGGTCCAGGGAGGCTCAGGAGTTTGTGGCCTCCATGGCAACCTTGGACTTGCCCCAAGTCATAGATGGCCCGACGCATACCTACGGCTGCGTATTAGATCTGTTTTTTCACCTCGGGGAAGTTGTGACACGATCTGGTAGCGGAGGACATTGACATCAGTCTGTTGCTGTCAACAGATCACTCCCACAGGGAGTGTTTGTGCCTGTTTGATTGGCCCTCTCCAGGCACTCGATAGACCAGTGCTTCTCAACCCTGGGAACTTGAAGACCTGTGGACTTCAACTCCTAGAATTCCCCAGCCAGCCGTCTTCGCCCGCGCCTTTGTTGTGGCCTGGGCGCCGCGGCTTCTCCCCTTCCCTTCCACCCAGAATAACGGTTTC